GACACAAGACACCTAATGTGTCTCCTAGCGCGTTATAGATTTCTCTGTCGTGATCGGCGGCTGAAGCGGCGACGCCTCGAGAGCGTAATCCGAGTGGACCTGCGATTTATTGAATCTTTTTTAATGGAGGTGGATTTCACACCCAAAATCTGACAGTCTGACTGAGGGAACCATTCTTGTTCCACCGATATGGCCGGATCCGACACCCGGTCCGCCACATTCCCCCTCCGAGTTTCCTCGACCGATGGAAACTCAGCTTCTTGATATTTCTTGATTAGGTGACGTCTTATCGGGTTTTGAGTCTTCCTCCACGGATTGTTCTATCTTGTAGAGCAGCCGTATGGGTCTGACTAGGACCTGTCCTGTTCCGGTTAGAACTGTACACGAGCGAGCGTTTTCTGGTCGCCTGCCGTCTGGGAACGCTATAACTTTACATAATGGCCATAGCCCGCGGTGGCCTGCGTCTGACTTGATCAGGCAAATGTCGCCCAAATTGAGGTGTCGATCCGGTAGCGGTTTTCGGGCCATAGCGGATCTGAGCTGGGTGAGGTACTCGGCTTCGAATAACTTCCAGTATGCGGTTAGCAATCTCTGTTGATATTTGTGACGAGCGGAGTAAACGATGGCATCCGCGTCGCGCCTCTTGGATGGTAACATTCTGTGCTGCGGAAGGAATTGCGTTCCTCTCTGCCCTGATATCAAGTTGTAGGGCGTCAGTGCTTCAAGATCTCCGTTTTTCGTGGCTATTACGGTGATCGGGCGTTGATTGATGACGGCTTCGATATTTGCCAGAATAACTTCTAGGTCTCTGAAGAACGGGATCGAGGAACGTAGGATTTTCCTCAATGGTCGCTTGACGCTCTGAACCTGTCGCTCAGTGAACCCATTCATCCATGGAGTCAGCGGGGCAACGAATTCCCACTTAATGCCGCGCGTTGATAGCCATTTTTTCAGCTCTAGGTTGATGGTTTCCTCATAGATGACTTGCAATTCTTTCGCGGCTCTTCTGAAGGATGCTCCGTTGTCGGAGACCAGGGTCGAAAGCGCCGGATAGCGGCTGATGAGCTTCTGGAGCGCGCCCAATACTTCTGCTGTGCTCATGTCCGTCGTAAGGAATAGACACACCGCGCGGCTCACGGCACACGTACAGACTAGTATATAGCTTTTCGCGACCTCCTTGTTTTCTTTCCTATACCTTATAGGTCCTGCGAAGTCTATTCCTGTAGTGCTGAAGGCTTGAGCTTGTTCGATTCGCCAGGCTGGCAATTGAGCGGTGGCGAGTGATGCCGGTGGGGCTCCGAAGATTTTACAAATGGCACAGTTGGCCAAGACTTTTCGCGTGAGTTTACGTGCTCTCAGTATGAGGAACTCTTTTCTCACGTGGTGCATAGAGCTAGCGACACCTCCTGTGTGCAGGCAATGCTTCTCGTGGGCATGTTTCACGATGAGTTCAGATATACGGCTTTCATAGGGCATCAGAATCGGAGAGCGCTGGCCGAGCGTCAACTCTGAGGTTCTCTGGAGCCTCGTGGTGGCGCGTATGATCCCGTCATCGTCTAGGCGGGGTGCGTACTCGTACAGTTTGCTCGATCGTTTGATGCTTTTGCAATTCGACTCGTATTCGTCCTTGAAGTATTTCTTTTGAGTTATTCTGATGAGATCGATTTTCGATTCTTCTATCTCCTCTGTGTGAAAGTCGTCGAACCTTCTGCTAGTAGGCGCTGCTCGTCTGTTCGAGCTGACCCGGAGTCTTGCTTCATTAGCTTTTTGCTTCAATCTTCTCATGAGTGCCCAGAACTTGATGGCCTTAGTAATTGACGAGAACGAATTTTCGAAGAAAAGCGGATTCGTTGCGATTTTGACGCTGGCGTTGAGACATATAGTATTCGTCGTTTGCTCTAAGTATTTAACCTCTGCCAGGTCATCTTCGGTTTGTCTCTGACTTCGCTTCATTCTCTCAATTATCTTCTCGTCTGATTCTTTCAACCAGGTTGGTCCATTCAACCACATTCTCTTATCTTCACCGGTGAGCCACTTGCCTCTAGATACAATGTCGCTTGGATTTTCTTCGCTCGGAACCCACGACCACGAATCTCCCTTTGTGAGCCGTTGGATAATCCTCACCCTATTCGCGACGTAGGCCTTGAATCTTTCTGGCTTCGAATGGACCCATGCCATAACCGATTTGTTATCGGTGAGGAAATTATATGCAGAGATATGGATGTTGGGATCAAGTCCTTTCTTGACGTTGCTCATGACTCTTGCCGCTAATAAGGCTCCTGACAGCTCTAGGCGCTGAACAGATGTCTTCTTGACTGGGGCGACTCTTCCTTTGGCCATCAAGAATGAAATTTGTGGTTCGCATCCGATCCGTATTGTTCTTAGGTATGCAACGCAGCCAATTGCTTTCGTTGAGGCGTCCGAGAAGGTGAATACTTGATGCGAAATGACTGCTCCCTGACGCTGAGATGACTTGAAGAGAGCTCGCGGAATTTTAGTGCTCGCTGTAGTGCGAAGCTGGCTGACGAATTTTACGTAATTTTCAGCGAGGTTTCCCGTTAGCGCTGAATCCCAGCCTTTTTTTGCCGTCCATAGCTCTTGTAGTATGCTGCGAGCCGTAACATGAGTGGGCGCAAGTATACCCAAAGGGTCGAATATTTGCGCAAGGCCCCTCAGGAGCCGGCGTTTTGTTGGAGTACCGTTCTCAAGCGTTGTCATAGCTTTCGATGTTTGCGCTGTTAGAGCGTCCGTCATCTGATCCCAGCCGACTCCCAAAAACTTCGCATTTTGTTGACCTGTGGTAATCGTCGGATTCGGCACTAGTGACACCGCTTTGATGTACTCTGCCAGCTCGGCCGAATTCGTGCTCCATTTCGCTAGCGGCAGACATGCTTCGTGGAGTATTCGTATCAGCAGATCTACACGATGTTTGGCCGATTCCAAATCGTTTGCACCAGCCCCGAAGTCGTCGATGTAGTAGGTCTGGATAATTTCTTCGATGAATTCTGCTTCTTCCGGGTAGCGAGTTTTTGCCTCTTCCAAATGTGTCTTTAGAGTTAGCATGAATGTATATGGGGAATTAATGACTCCGAAATCCATTCGGCATCCCCAGAACTCGCGGATTGGGGCCGCTGGATTGTTGCTGACTCCGAGTGGCCAAAAAAACGGAGTACGGTGCGGTCGGGTCTTGCTACTTCGATTTGCTGGAATGCGGCTTGGATGTCAGCTGTGAAAACTATTGGGTATTGCCTGAATTTCAGAAGCACCTTCCCGATGTCTGGCAATAAGTTTTCTCCGGCATGGATCACGTCGTTGAGTCCTGCTTTGTTGAGTGATCTCGCGGACGCGTCCTTTACGACTCTTGTTTTCATGTCCAGAGATGAATCTGCATTGCCCTTGAATACTGCTTGGACAGGTAGATAGTGGACGAGTTGTTCCTTCAATTTCGGTGCTGCTAGCTCTGCGTGTCTCTTCTCGACGTATTCGTAGATCGCAGTGTCGACCGCCCGTAATTTTTCGGGGTCCCTTTTCAGTTTAGCCAAGAACGAGTGCAAGCGTGAGATTGCTAGCGACCGGTTGTCGCCCAGTTCGCGGATGTTATCTTTGAAGGGTAATCGCACCCTGTATCTGCCTTCCTCGTTTCGGGTCGTAGTTGTTCTGTGGTATTCCCGGAGCGCTTGGAAAAGTCCATCTTGCTCTTCCGCCCCTTCTCCCTCTGGGCTTTGGAGACCGATGTCGTCCATTTGCCATATTTTCTCGATGTCCTCCAGGCTTCGTAGTTCTGCTTCTGATTTCTTCTTCGTTTTTATCACAATCGGCCGTATCGAATTTTCTGAATTTCGGTGCCGGATCGAGGACGCTGATTGTATGAAGGATACTCCGCAGAATTTTGTTAGGGTGGGTATTTGATTCGCTGCAGATGCTGTACTGGTGGAGTCTCCTGCGACGATCCATCCAAACATGGATTCGAAGACGAACATATCAGGAAGAGAGATTGCGTTCCCGAATTCTATTTTCCGGACGTAGCTGTGTCCCAGCAGGATGTCTATCGATCCCGCGTTTTCATCGAGCTGCTCGTCCGCGAGGGGGCTGACATCCAGATCGTGCTTCATTATCGGAAATTCTGACCGTGTGAGGCATTCCACCTCCATGCATTCGACGACTAATCTTTTCTTCGGATTGTGTCGACTGATGAGTGTGATGTCGAAGACTCCACTGATTCCCAGATTAGAAATCTGTCCACCGGCGGTCGAGAGGACCAGATCGACCTGGGATTTCGGGATCGCTCCCAGCTTTTTCACGAATTCGGTCGTGACGTGGGAGGATTGACTACCGGCGTCAACGAGGATTCTGCATTTGATCTCCTTGTCGCCGACTTTAGCGATTACACAGGCTGTCCACAAAGACTCGGCAGAGTTCAGAGCGTCTCCGTTGAGGTTTGACGACGTCCGAACTGTTGGTCTTTCCGCAATATCTGCTGCAACTTTGGGGCATATCAGAGCGTAATGCATACCTCCGCAGTTCCTGCAAGCTGATCTCGGGCCTTCCTTGCAATGCCTCGCATCATGATTTAGCTTAAGGCATCTCAAACATGCTCCGACTGATCTAGCTCTCTCCCTTCGTTCTGTCACGGTGAGGTTCCGGGTGCAACGGAATGAGGGGTGGTTTTCCTCGCAGAAGAGGCATGCCAATTTTGCTCGAGGTGGCGGGTTCGTGCTGCGTGGATCTCTCGCCGGAGTCTCCGGCTTCGTGGTCAGGAACGACTGCAGGTGTCTCCGCTCTGTGTATTCTGGCTGATGTTGTTGACGATCCGGCTGATTCTGGTAGAATCTCATTGGAGGTCTCTGATCGGTCAGGTACCGTGGCTGCTCGCTTTGATACTGTCGTCGTGGCATCGCCGCCGAACTTGATGGCAATGCAGTGAATGGTCTTGACTGATTAGCTTGAACGCTGAGTCGTCTCGGGCTCGGCGGTGGATATCGAGAGCCACGTCGCGGATGAGGAGACTGATTCGTTTCACCGTAACTTTGAGCCGATCCTTTCGCCTTGTCATAGCGAGTCCCTTCTTCCATCAGGTAGTCAAGCAGGACTTGGAGAGGTGGTCTGGCGCTGTTCTCGGCTCGAATGGTTGCCTCTCTAGCAATCGTGTAGGATAATCTGCCCAAGATTTTATGGTAGCATGCATCGTGTAGTGATTGATAGGAGCGGCCAAGGGCAATCAGCGAGTATATGTGCTGCGAGATTTCGGTGACGAAAACCGACAATTTATCGTAAGCCAGTTCGGGTCCCGATGATAGGATCCGTTCAAGCTCCTTCAGATGAGAGATCGCCGCGTATGATCCATCCCCGAATTTCGTTCTGAGAATCTGCCTCGCGATTTCGTAGTTTGCTGCGTCCATAGAAAGGTGTTGCACTGCTGTCAAGGCTTTCCCGTATAGATGGTTTCTCAGCGTGATATATTTTTGAAGTTCGGGTACTGGGCGCTGATGGACAAACATCTCGAATTGTTGTGAAAAATCTCTGAATTGCTGTACGTTGCCACCGAACTTCGGGAGTTTTATGGCTTCCTCCAGCTTCGGTAGAAATTTCGCTTCGCTGTCGAGTCCCTCGGGCAGAAATCTTTTCTCTAGTATGCTTGCTAGCTTCTCCATAGGATCTATATTCTTGTTACTCGAATGATGTTCCTTGTCTCTGATCGTATTCCGAGCCATGGCCGGTGGCTCGATCTTTTCATCCTCTGGAACTTCTCCTTCGAATGGCATCGTTGGTTGCTTTTCCTCGCCTAACGGGTCTCCGAGAAAGGTGATTTGCGCTTTCGATTTTTCAGCTGCTTCTGCTGCGATGTTCTTTGCCTTGTTTCGATTTGCAAGTCTTTGTGACCGCGCTGTTTCGTTCCGAGTGGCGCTCATGCTGTCCTCATTTCTTCCGCGTGCGATGTCTGGTTGCTGTGTCATCACATCAACTTCTCCGTTGGGACGGAGACTAGGCGTTGAGTTGTGAATTGGTGGTGACCTATTTTGGATTTCTAATGGCGTGGTGTTGAGATCTCTCGCTCCTTGATTTTGATCGCGAGAAAGGAATGTTGTTCCATCTACGTTGAAGGATGGACTTTCGCTGAAATATATTTTCATCTCTTCCAGCCATAGGAGATCGTCCTCTATGAAACCCTCCAACTCCATGATTCCGCAAAGAAGCTCCTCGTCTTCCATGTCTTGCTCGAGCACCTTCTGATTCAGAGCCGACACTTCATTTTTCAGATCTTTCGTTAGCTTCTGAAGATGGTTGAGGTGAATTGCCGCTCTGCTGTCGTTCGGATCTAGTTCGTAGAGCCGTAAGGCGTGCTTTTTGTTCTTGTCCGCTTTGAGCTTGAGATAGCGGAGCGTTCTCGCCAGGGTCGATCTGGAGGGGGCGACGTGTGCCCTATTTCCGACGATCTCTTCCTCGCTTTTTGAATCGAATGAGCTCTTTTGTGGCTGGATGCAGTTAGGGACCTCGGGTGGTGAAGGTAGCTCGCACTGAGCTATTTGCGACACGGGAAATTCTCGAACTTCCGTCGATTCATAAGCTCCCCCATCGGCTCCGACGGATGGTGTAGGTTCACTTGGATTCATCATACCGGTTTGGTAGAGTTCTTCCGTAGCGCTGGACTATTGGTCTCTTTGCTCCGCTACTGTTTCTCCGAGAATTACTTTCCGATTCAGCTCCAGGAGCCTCGAGTCATCCCTGTCGCCTCGATCTGCGGCTCCGGGATGGCCTTCCATATCTTCTTAATGATTGAAGAAATTTTCTCACTTCTTTCGTTGGTGAATGGGTGAACTCGGCTGTAGGGCTTCTATTGATGAGAGCCCGCACCGTTATCGAGCTTGGGCTCGAGTGGGCGTGACCACTTTCTTCTGACACCAAATGTTGTGGAGAGAACCTGAGTTCGTGTGAAAACACAGTTTAACTCGTTGATAGTCCAGGTCCACTCAGAACAACACTATTGAGAAATGAATTTCTATCGAGTCTCTGCGCGTAACGGCTGAGGCCGCAGTCAGAGAGGTACTACTCGTTTTCTGTCTTTTTCTAATGCCGCGCCGTCTCGTTTGGCGCGGTGGTGACACAAGACACCTAATGTGTCTCCTAGCGCGTTATAGATTTCTCTGTCGTGATCGGCGGCTGAAGCGGCGACGCCTCGAGAGCGTAATCCGAGTGGACCTGCGATTTATTGAATCTTTTCTAATGGAGGTGGATTTCACACCCAAAATCTGACAGTCTGACTGAGGGAACCATCCTTGTTCCACCGATATGGCCGGATCCGACACCCGGTCCGCCACAACAGAACTCAGTGAGGATCCTTCGCCTAGAGCTAGAGGACCTGAATACGCTCGCGACCAGTGAGTTAGCAGAAAACGATCTCACAGCCGATTCCACAAGAATCGCGGCTGACCTCAATTACAACATTGAAAAAAAGTTGAGCGAACTCGTAGCCGCGTTCGATATCTTCTCGCGAGATCCAGAGCTCAACGAGAACGGGATAAACCTCACGGAAGAATTCGACAGTCAGTACACATGCAGCAGGTTATCGAAAATGAATTGTCGAGCCCTGCAAGCGAGAATCGTGAGGCTCGAGGCGATTTACGGTCCTACCGCTGGTTCCTCTCCAATCAATCATCTACGGGTGCCACCCGGCGATCAACAGATGTCCACACCGAAACCACTAGCCGACATAGCAGAGCAGACGTCAAATGTCGCCATTGGAGCTGCATTCGATGGAACAGCTGAACATTCGATTAGACCCACAGTCATTCAAAACAGCCAATTCCAACCATCAAGCTTCTCGTCGGATCACCAGGGACACATCGTAAAGAACCCGGAGAAGAAGGTTCCCCGCTTCAATGGAGACCCCATCAAATTCGACGAATGGTGGTCGCTCTTCTCGTACTACGTCGATTCGAAACCAATCGACCCTACGGAAAAGTGCCCAATCCTAAAGAACTCCCTCGTCGGGCGAGCCCTCCAAACGGTCGCGCATCTACGTATCGCCGCGGAGTCCTATGAAATCATGAAGTACACCATCCAAGAATCATTCGGCGACCCTGATGCGGCGAGGGCAGCATTGTTACAGAACATTCACGTGGTGTGTCGTGCTAAGGACCTGTCAAAACCGAGTAAGTTCATCAGTTTCGCTTTGACTTTGGCGCAGAATGTCCGTTCATTAGAAGCTCTCGGTGAAGGTTTCGAGCGTCTCTCATCTCTCAGCCCAATGATTCTCAGTTGTTTGACTCACGAGATGAAGCTAGAATTCAACCAGAAATGGGAGGAACGGGACTCCGATTCAGTTAGCAAAGTCGAGTATCTCCTGAGCTTCCTAGAGTGGAAGAAACGTCTCTTCGATCTCGGTGAACGTCAGTCTAGATTCTTAGAGGAGAGACCCCCCACCACTCAAGCGGTTCGAACAACCGGAACTTTGATCCGGGAAGGAACCAGAGTAGGGGTTCCGGTCCCAATAATAGGTCTCAGTTCTCCTTCGCGGGTACGTCCTCATCGGTCGACCACTCGTGCCTGTTCTGCAGGAAGAATCACGAAAGTTCGAAATGCTTGAAGAGGTTAACCCCGGAGGAACGGAAGAGACTGTGCTTAGACCAAAATGGTTGCTTGCGCTGTCTCAGGCGAAACCACCAAGCTGAGCACTGTAGAGCAAGAGTCAGTAATTGCAGCAGATGTTCAGGTCGTCATTCAGTGATGGTGTGTTCACGGCCCGCCCCGTCCACCCCCCAAGTCGCAGCTGCAGCCTGCGAGAGCTCCGAATCGTTCCATCCATTGTCGACTTTCCTTCAGACGTGTTACGTATATGTAGTCCACGGTAGAAGAAAGGTTCTTTGTCGCTGCTTGCTCGATCCCGGCGCGATGCAATCCCTAGTTTCGGAAAGAATCACCAGGGAATTGAAGCTCCCAATTGATAGCTCAGAGCCAATCGTCCTCCATGGCATCGCCGGTCAGACCACTGCGAAAAACTTGGGCAAATGCCGAATCTCGGTCAGAAGCCGTTTCTCGAGACACCAGATTAATGTCAACTGTCTCGCAGTTCCGAGAGTCATCTCGGGAAGTGTTCCGCATATCCGGTCGACGTTTGATCTCTCACCCGCAGCGGACGTCGGAGAAACAGGCTTCCCAGAAGAGATAGATCTCCTGCTGGCAAACGACTGTTTGCATCAGGTTTATGCAGGTCAATACAAAAGATTCGGGAAGGTCCTAGCTTCCCCCACTATCTTCGGGTGGGTGTTCTGGGGACAAAGCGGCTCCAACGCGGTTTCACAATTGAAATTCACAACCTCGGGGGTGGTCATATGCTCTTCCATTTCTTCCGGCGTTCACGGTCAAAGGGAAAGGGCTCAAAGATCCATCGAGGAGATTGAAAACCTCGAGTTCCTCTGGGACTCGGAGTTCCTTGGAGTCGAGCATTCCACTGCAGGCGATGCGGATGAATCCGCCCGGGCCATGATAGAGCGTTTCAAAAACTCGGTCAAGCGATTGCCCTCCGGCCAATACTCGGTCTCCCTTCCCCTCAAAGACAATCTTCACACTCTCGGTGATAATCAAAAATTAGCATACTCAAGATTGATAGCGTTCCTCAAGAACGCGAAGAAGGATCCGGAATTTCTCAAAGCCGTTGACAGGGAGATTCAGAAATACCTGAATTCGGGATTCATAGAGTTAGCCGAACCTAGGTCGCCTGGAGAACTAGCACATTATATTCCAATACTGGCAGTTGCGAAGAAGTCGGCGACAAACGATCAGGAGCGACGAGTGAGGGTAGTCAAAGATTGTGGTTCGCGCTCGAGGGATGAAGCGTCTCTTAACGACGTTCTCGAGACGGGTCCTAGCCTGCTGCCAGACATCCTCATCCCGCTACTGCAGTTCAGAAGCTTCCCAATCGTCATAATCGCCTATATAAAGCAGGCTTTCATGAACTTCCTTATTGAGAAAGAACATCGAACCTTTCTGAGGTTCTTTTGGCCGACTAAGATTTCTGAAAACCCGAACGCCGCAATTCGAGAATATTGGGCAAGAGTTCTCGACTTCGGTATTTCTTCAAGTCCGTTCCTTCACTGCATGGGTCTTCGTCACCACCTGGACTCAGAGGCCGAGAGGCTGCCCGACAAAGCACAGCTACTTGAGCAACTCAAGTCATCGTTCTTTATGGACGACCTCTGTACGGGAGCGAGCTCCGTAGACGAAGCTAAGGTCGTCGTCAGGACAATGTTGGATGTATTCAGTCGAGGACATTTTCCGCTTGATAAGTGAGCAACCAACAGCCAGCAATTGGCAGATTCCGTGGTGAAAACCGTGGGCCCCGACCGCGAAGTCTCGGCCTCGGATGAATCCTCGAAATTTTTGGGAACCCATTGGAATCAACGCGGGGATTCCCTGTTCATTGACGTCGCGAATATAATTGCTTTCTTCGAGTCCGAGCCGCTCACCAAACGACAGCTCATCCGCGGGTTGGCGAAAATCTATGACCCTCTGGGCCTGATCTGCCCCATCGCGATTAATTTTAAATTTCTCATGCAAATCATTTGGTCTCGGCGGATTGATTGGGATGTGGAGTTACCAGACGACCTCAGGGCTAAATACCTCGAGGCAGTGAACAATCTGAAGAATGCCCCCTTCATTCAGGTCGAGCGTAACTTATTCGAACTCCCAAGAGATCAGGCGACGCGCGAACTTCATGTGTTCGCTGATGCGTCGTTCTCAGCTTTCGGAACCAGTGCTTACATTCGAGAATTCCAGGGGCCCTATCCGAAAGACAAAGTTTCGGTCAAATTCATTATGGCAAAGACCAGAGTCACTCCGCTGAAGGGCAAGTGGACCATTCCACGACTTGAGTTGATGGCAGCTCTCCTCGCAGCGCGCATGGCGAGCAAGATTCGGAAATATCTCTCGAACGAGATCGATTCGATTCACATGTATTCAGACAGCAGCAGCGTTCTGGGTTGGATCAGGGACACGCCTGACCGGTGGACTCAATTCGTTTCGAACCGAATCCGTGAAATTCAGTCCTTAACCGACCCAAACTCATGGAGTTATATAAGGAGTGAGGAGAACCCTAGCGATCTTCTTTCCCGGGCCTCTCCGCTCGATTCCGAGGAACTGAGGAAACTGTGGCTCCAGGGTCCTCCTTGGTTGGGTACTTCGGGGAGCCCGGAACCGCATTTACTGAATGCGATCCCTCCTCGAGAGTCCCTCCCGGAAAGGCGTGCGGAGCTGGTGGTCACATCCAGCACGAGGCCTACCCCTATCGGACCCTTATTCTCAAAACAGTTCGGTTCATGGCAAAAAGCGGTCAGAGTACTCGCCTACGCTCGCCGTTTCGCGCTAAAGAAGGAAAAACCATCAGACCTCGTGGTGGAGGCGATCGAATTTCGGAACGCCGAAGAGGCGCTGATAAAGTATATCCAGAGATGTTGCTTCTCAGCCGAACTGGCTTCGAATTGCGGAAACATTACTCGTTCGAGCAAACTCTACCAGTTCAATCCTTTCGTCTCAGAGGATGGTTACATCCGATGCAGAAGTAGACTACAGCATTCATCTAAGATGAACTTCGACGAAAAATGCCCAATCCTCCTCATGGGAGAAGATTTCCTTGTCCGGCTCCTTCTCAGAAGCATCCACGAATTTTCATGTCTCCATTCCGGTGGCGTAGCTTCCATCCTCCAAGAAGTCCGCAAGAAATTCTTCGTAATTCGAGCTAGGAGAGCGGCGAAAGCGGCGATCGCGGGCTGCAAGGGATGTGCTCGATACAGAGCAGTCAAAGCGAGCGAGCCGATCCCACCATTACCGACATTCCGTCTGGAAGCATCAACTCCTTTCGAATGCTCCGGAACGGACCACGCGGGCCCTATATACTTCAAATCCGACACAGGGGTCAAAACCAAGGGTTACATTCTCCTGTTCGTTTGCGCAACTACGAGGGCCTGTCGATTGGAGATGGTTCCGGACCTCTCGACGAATGAATTCCTGCTAGCATTACGCAGATTCATCGCAAGGAATCCCACGGTGCAACGCATTGTCTCCGACAATTCCAAAACCTTTCATAAAGCATCGCGTGAGTTGAACGCGATCTTCCAAAATGCCAGAACGCCGAAAACGAGAGATTTCTTGGCGGCTAAGAGAATCGAGTGGGAATACTCAACTCCTTTGAGCCCTTGGCAGGGGGGATTCTTTGAGAGAGTTGTACAAATGGTGAAGCGCCCGCTTCGTAAGATAATGGGCGTTCACACCCTTAAGTACAGAGAGCTCGAAGCAACGTTGTTCGAGATCGAGAGGATGATAAACAATCGCCCGCTCACAGCGGTGATTATCGACCCTGATGAACCGAGAGCCTTGTCACCCTCTGATCTCTTATACGGGTATTCAGCCGGTCAACCTCTCCCGGAGACAAAACGCATCCTCCAGGAAGCAACGTCGGCTTCGGCCGCAGTTTTCTCCCGGCGCTGGCTGAGCTAGCAATCGATTCTCTGTCAATTCTGGAAAGATTTCAAGAACTCCTATCTGCAATATCTATCGACCATTCACTCCAACAATCCTCCTCCCAGCAGGTCGCTGGAAGTCGGGGATGTCTGTATTCTGAAAACGTCGGATCCCTCACGGGGGTGGTGGCTACTTTGTGTCGTTCTTGAACTCCTAGGCGGGAGGCATTCTGCCGCTCCGAAATCATGCGTCATAAAGACGGCAAAGGGACAGTTGCTCCGACGTCCGATCGATCTCTTATACAAATTGGAAGTCTCCCAGTTCTGACAGAATAGACGGTGATGATCAAACAGAAGATCGAGATGAGAGAGCGTTCACTGACCGAACCAGAGTAGAATTTTGTTAACTTCGAAGCGCCAGAGTGAAGGAGCGAAGCAGATGAGCTTATTATGTATCATTCATTGTTATCACATTAACGAAAAGAAACCGAACATCAGAACCTGATATTCGCCCGCTATATGTTCTCCGGGAACCGCTTCACGGTTCGCCCGCGGGAGTGTCACGAATTCCTCGATTATTATCATCCGATCCCTTCGTGGATTCAACCGAATAAAGAGAAGTCGGAGAATGGTCGAGAGCGGAGCGGGTCGCCATCTATCGCACTCCCTCCGGGCGTGAGAGCCAGAGAGCTTTCCGACCACCGCGCCACCGCGCGGCAACGGTAAGGCCTCTCGCGGTCTCTCATCGCCTCACTCACTTGTTGTTCTCAACGATAGGAGCGCGCGCTCCGTCTGTTGACCTCCCGGCGATTTCCTGATCAGAAATTCGCTTTCTTTAATCACTTCCCCGAACTCCTGCTAGAACTTGCGGAGAACTCGTGTCAGTCCATGACCCACGATGATCTCAGCTGACGTCCAGTTATTCTGAGTGGGGCCGAAATGGTCGTCAGTCTTGATATCAGCCCGCGCTCTGTGACCGGCGCTGCGGTCGCCCCGCTATGTCCTTCATATTTTCCGGGCCAAACCCCTAACGTCCCGAGTATGAGCCATCAGGATTTGCCTCTGAAGACGGATGCCGGAGGCAAATGATTCCGGGTAGATCTTAACCGGGGATCTGTTGCTCCTTCCGTCAGGCGATTTGGCCGGCAACAGGTTTCGAACCCACGCCACCCCCTGCGCGAGCGGCACCGGCGACGCTGCGGATCTGCACGTTTTCACGAGAAGTCAAAGCCTGTGACTGTCAATGACGCGCTAAGCGCTCGACCACTCGTCGGTGCAACGAGCACCGGCTCGTTTCCGCTGTCATATACATGTCGCTTTCAAGCCCCTACATCCGCGCCACAGTCTCCGAAGCCGCCGGAACTGCCCTCAACGAGGAAAGTCAATAAGGTCTTTCATTCTGGTCGCGCCTCAAAGAGGTTCTTCCGGAATGAACTAGTGTGAATTCTCCTTTATGCACACCGCTAACGGTGAATCGAGTGACACTGAAAGATGCTGTCCTCAAGAAGAATCTCCTGGATTACAAGTGTGACATTGGCTACTTGACCGTACTCTTCAGTAAATTCAACGAGGTGAACTTGAAGCTGCAGGGTGACAGCTTGAATCTGGTCTCAACGAAGAGTATTCTGACTGTTTTCTTGACCAAAGTGAAGCTCATGCAACAGAGAGTCGGTCGTCGTGATTTCTTCCTCTTCCCCAATATGGCATCAGTAGACTGTGAGGATGAGGACCTCCGAGTTTATGTCTAGCACTAGGCGCTCTCCGAGAAGATTTTTCCTCCAGGTTTGATGATATACCGGCATGGACATACCGGAGTGGATCGTCGACCCATACGCTGGCTTCGAGAAATGTAACGAGAATCTCGAAGAGGAGCTACTTGACTTGGTTGCTGATGAAGAGTTGAAAGCTCAATTTAAGAGAGGGTTCCATCAGTTTTGGCTTCATGAAAGCATCCCGAAAGAATACCCGTCGTTGTGGAACGTGGTGCAGAAAGCTCTTATAGCCTTCCCCTCCTCGTATCTTGTTGAGAGAGCTTTCAGCGCAGTAACGAACCTTGTCACAGAAAAGAGGCGCAGGTTGCATATAATCGCTCGCGGAGACTTGCGATTGAATTTAACGAAACTGGAGCCGAATGTCGAGAAGCTGGTATCACGACATTTGATCCATCCTTCTCATTGAAGGGGCTCAAAGGGGGCCTACATACATGACGTTAATAATTCGCTTGGTCTCGCATTGTACTACGAAACTCGTTCTTGCTCAAGTTCATCTTCGAACATCCCTTTGATCTACGTTGTGAAAATTATGCCGAGCGTCGAAGCACTTACTCCTCCGGCAGGGGAGCCACGGCATACTGCGGGAGCTCCTAGGGGGTCCACGGCCGAAAACGATTCGGGAACCACTGAACTAGAGTGTCCGAGAGCCTTCGCAGCCTGCGCTTTGTGGAGTTTCCCTCTACGCTGCGGCTCACTACCGAAAGCCAGAATCGCCAAAGCCGGAATCCTCATGAGCCAGAATTCCCGTGAGCCAGAGTTCGCCGGTCTCCGATCGCTGCCTGACCACAGAAAAACGAAGCTGCATCTCAGGTCCGGATCCTCGCAAAGCGCGAGAGTGGCTGCGGCTCAGGAATCGAAATTGAGTTCAACTTCTCGAACGATCGCTCGATCCGCCTGACGAACGAGTTTGAGACCGGAGCGAAGACTCTGATGGAGAACATTTTCAGCGTCGCTTTCAATTTTACGAAGAAGAGATTGTTAGAGATGACTCCAATAATATAAGATCCCCTCTGTGAGCGGGGTAGGAATGCAATGCACCCGTGAAACGAAATCATTCTGATACCTTCTTCCAGTAAGTTTGAAGGTTTATCGAAGATTGATACATGGGGGCCGCGCCCGCAAGTCGAGCTGGGCTTTGCATCGTTGCGGCACAATTCCGACCAGCCTTGAGCCAATGTTCCGGCCTCTGAGATTCCTGGCTTCTGAGAAGTCTGGCTTTTGCGGTTCTGGCTTCTGCGATTCTGGATTGTGAGACGGTATCCTATGCCCTATGCTGCTGTGTGCTGCCAGAGCTCCTCCTCTCCCAGGCGACACACTCTCCGCCGGTCTCTGGTTGGCTGATTGCGCTCTGTAGTGATTTCCCTCTCCGTGACGATTTTCGCTGAAGCTGAGAGCTATGACGTCATCGACGTCAAAAAACTTCAGTATACGAGCCAAAAACTCTGATCGATTGGCACAGAAAAAGGCTGATTAGCTTTCTCTGTAGAACTCCTCCTTTTTTCTTCACTTTACTGGCCCATGGAGCCCAGACGGTATAGGCAGCATTCAAATGCCAGCCCTCGACCCTCGGAGATCATCAGAACATTGTGCCGAAACAAACTCTAAACTGCAAACAGTGGACTCCTGCCAACTGAGTACCTTTCTCAGTGAGCCTATGCTCAGGATCCTCACGGGTTCCCAACGATTTGGTCGGTTTTCCGAGCTCGGACGCTGAGTCCTGAGCGAGCCTTAGAACGATGAGATAGCACAAACGATGATCACCACAGTGGAATGAACACAACAGACGTGAAGTGAACCCAAACGGGAATTCTCCTCAAGTGATGGAGTCCTTTATTGAACCAGCTCGTATACTAGTTAATACACGTGGTCAGATCCCCATGAGGGAGCAGGGATTGCCATGACAGATAGTTCGAGCCGTCTTCGTTGAGTATCACCGAGCTGGTCTTGCCACGGATGTCGCTGAGGTTCGGTGGCACTGACTCGTTGCTGGGATCTGGCTTGACATCACCTCCTCCAGGAGTGTCTCCATCGGCAGGAGCAGTTCCTCCTCCGGATGATCCTCCAGCAGCGGTCGATCTACCACTCGCACCGACATCGACGAACTCTTCACCTGTGGTCACCAGGGCCAGAGGTTCGACTTGTCGTTGAGTCATGGCGAAGCTTCGGCTTCACTGACTCACTCACGTTTTGGGAGAAGTTGGTTGATGTTGTGAGGTAGTCGAAGACGATGTTCTTGCTCGAAAGAACTCACGTCCCTCGTGCTGATCACGCTGAAGGATATTTGGTCGATTTTCCGAGCTTGGACGCTGAGTTCTGAGCGAGGCTTCGAACGATGAGATAGCACAAACGATGATCACCACAGTAGAATGAACACAACAGACGTGAAGTACAGTAAAAGCTCCTTACAACGACCCCATTACAACGAATTTCTCGGTACAACGAACAAGGAATTTCTCCTCCTTTGGCCAGCTCGCCATAGGGATAGTGCTGAGCGGCATTCGTTACAGCGAAAACTCGGTACAACGAACCAGTTTCGACGGTCCCTTCGTGTTCGTAGTAACGAGCTTTTACTGTAAACCCAAACGGGAATTCTCCTCAAATGATGAAGTCCTTTATTGAACCAGCTTTTATACTAGTTAATACACGTGGTCAGGAAGGGTTAGTCTGTACAAACTATCTAAGTATGCGCTTTCGTCACAATCGAATACGTTTGAATACGACCGCTAACAGCGCGGTACACCCCATTTGGCCGCGACCGTTTGGCCGCGGGACGTTTGGCCGTGGGACCGTTTGGTCGCGGGACCGTTTGGACGCGAGACTGTTTGGCCGCGGGACCGTTTGGTCGCGGTACCGTTTGGCCGCCGTGGGACGACTTGAGAAATGAGCGACCGGAAGGGACGGCTCTCAGGAATCTTGTGCGAAAGATCTATGAGGGAAGGCTTCAGGGTTTGTTACAATGAGGAAGTCGGCTTCGTGGTCGGGATGCAGAATACGGATGTATCTCCCTGAATGCATGGGTATTCAGCCCGTCTCTATACATGGCATACCAGAGAAGACCCGAGTCGATTATCCAAGCGTTGCGATTTTCAGCAACCTCAATCCTGGTCTCGGTAGCTGAGGTCCTCAACAGGTGGAACGTCCCCAGCTTCCTTTGGGAGGCGTGCATGCGACAATTGACGGCATCAACAAAAACACGCAAAGTTCAGCAACATCCAAACATTTGAACCGAAGTCATGAGCTAGGAATCCTCCAACCGGTTTTCTAA